TTTGTCCAGATCATTTTGAATTATGACCCTGTCCTCCAAATCCCTCCCAGTTTGGTATCAATCCCTCCCAGTTTGGTATCATCCGCAAACTTAATAAGCATACTTTCTATGCCAATATCTAAGTCGTTGATGAAGATATTGAACAGAGCTGGTCCCAAAACAGACCCCTGCGGTACCCCACTCGTTACGCCTTTCCAGCAGGATTGGGAACCATTAATAACAACTCTCTGAGTACGGTTATCCAGCCAGTTATGCACCCACCTTATAGTAGCCCCATCTAAATTGTATTTGCCTAGTTTATCGATAAGAATATCATGCGAGACCGTATAAGTAAATAACTTTTCCTTATCCACTTTCTCCACATTTTCCTTATCCACTTTCTCCACATCACTCATGATTTTATATACCTCTATCATATCCCCCCTTAGTCTCCTCTTTTCCAAGCTGAAGAGTCCTAGCCTCTTTAATCTCTCCTCATATGGGATGCGTTCCAAACCCCTAATCATTTTAGTTGCCCTTTTCTGAACCTTTTCTAGTGCCAGTATATCTTTTTTGAGATGAGGAGACCACATCTGTATGCAGTATTCGAGATGTGGGCGAACCATCAATTTATATAAGGGCAATAATATATTCTCAGTCTTATTCTCTATCCCCTTTTTAATGATTCTTAACATCCTGTTTGCTTTTTTGACCGCCTCTGCACACTGCGTGGACATCTTCAGAGGACTATCCACGATGACTCCAAGATCTTTTTCCTGACTTGTTGTAGCTAAATTAGCCCCCATCATATTGTATGTATAGTTGGGGTTATTTTTTCCAATGTTCATTACTTTACATTTATCCACATTAAATTTAATTTGCCATTTTGTTGCCCAATCACTTGGTTTTGTGAGATCTTTTTGAAGTTCTTCACAGTCTGCTTTGGTTTTAACTATCTTTAGCAGTTTAGTATCATCTGCAAACTTTGCCACCTCACTGTTTACCCCTTTCTCCAGATCATTTATAAATAAGTTGAATAGGATCGGTCTGAGGACTGACCCTTGGGGAACACCACTAGTTACCCCTCTCCATTCTGAGAATTTACCATTAATTCCTATTCTTTGTTCCCTGTCTTTTAACCAGTTCTCAATCCATGAAAGGACCTTCCCTTTTATCCCATGACAGCTTAATTTACGTAAGAGCCTTTGGTGAGGGACCTTGTCAAAGACTTTCTGGAAATCTAAGTACACTATGTCCACTGGATCCCCCTTGTCCACATGTTTGTTGACCCCTTCAAAGAACTCTAATAGATTAGTAAGACACGATTTCCCTTTACAGAAAACATGTTGACTATCGCTCAAAAGTTTATGTTTTTCTATATGTCTGACAATTTTATTCTTAACTATTTTTTCGACTAATTTGCCAGGTACTGACATTAGATTTACCTGTCTGTAATTGCTGGGATCACCTCTAGAGCCCTTTTTAAATATTGGCGTTACATTAGCTAACTTCCGGTCATTGGGTACAGAATCCGATTTAAAGGACAGGTTACAAACCATAGTTAATAGTTTGAGTTCACATTTGAGTTCTTTCAGAACTCTTGGGTGAATGCCATCTGGTCCCGGTGACTTGTTACTGTTAAGTTTATCAATTAATTCCAAAACCTCCTCTAGTGACACTTCAATCTGTGACAGTTCCTCAGATTTGTCACCTACGAAAGCCGGCTCAGGTTTGGGAATCTCCCTAACGTCCTCAGCCATGAAGACTGAAGCAAAGAATCCATTTAGTTTCTCTGCAATGACTTTATTGTCTTTAAGCGCTCCTTTTGTATCTCGATCATCAAGGGGACCCACTGGTTGTTTAGCAGGCTTCCTTCTTCTGATGTACTTAAAAAACATTTTGTTATTACCTTTGGAATTTTTGGCTAGCCGTTCTTCAAACTCCTCTTTGGCTTTTCTTATTACATTCTTGCACTTAATTTGGCAGTGTTTATGCTCCTTTCTATTTGCCTCACTGGGATTTGACTTCCACTTTTTAAAGGAAGTCTTTTTATCTCTCACTGCTTCTTTTACATGGTTGTTAAGCCATGGTGGCTCTTTTTTAGTTCTTTTACTGAGTTTCTTAATTTGGGGTATGCATTGAAGTTGGGCCTCTATTATGGTGTCTTTAAAAAGCGTCCATGCAGCTTGCAGGGATTTCACTTTAGTCATTGTACCTTTTAACTTCTGTTTAACTAACCTCCTCATTTTTGTATAGTTCCCCCCTTTGAAATTAAATGCCACAGTGTTGGGCTGTTGAGATGTTCTTCCCACCACAGGGATGTTGAATGCTATTGTATTATGGTCACTATTTCCAAGCAGTCCTGTTATAGTTACCTCTTGGACCAGCTCCTGCGTCCACTCAGGACTAAATCTAGAGTTGCCTCTCCCCTTTTGGGTTCCCGTACCAGCTGCTTGATGAAGCAGTCATTTAAAGTATCAAGAAATTTTATCTCTGCATTTCGTCCTGAAGTTAAATGTTCCCAGTCAATTTGGGGATAGTTGAAATCTCCCACTATTATTGAGTTCTTAATTTTGATAGCCTCTCTAATTTCCCTTAGCATTTCATCATCACTATCACTGTCCTGGTCAGGTGGTCGATAGTAGATCCCTAATGTTTTATTCTTATTAGAGCATGAAATTTCTATCCATAGAGATTCTATGGAACATGTGGATTCACTTAAGATTTTTACTTCATTTGATTCTACATTTTCTTTCACATATAGTTCCACTCCCCCCCTTTTGCCCCCCGCACGACCTATTCTATCCTTCCAATATATTTTGTACCCCAGAATGATTGTGTGCCATTGATTGCTCTCAGTCCACCAGGTTTCTGTGATGCCTATTATATCAATATCCTCCTTCATCACAAGGCACTCTAGTTCACCCATCTTATTATTTAGACTTCTATCTCATTGACTTAACATAGTGGGCCAAATTCTGCTCTGTGTTACACTGGTACAAGCTGAGAGAAGAATTTCGCCCTGTCTCTCTTTTGGCAGCAGTAGACTTTGCCCTTGGAAAATCTGATTCTTGATCTCAAGGGTTACCTGGTGTCTTTCATAATTTTTCTTGCCCTTTTAAAAAATGTTCACTGATGATTTTGAGCATGACTTTCCTCCTTTACAGCCCTTTTCCTTCGATGTTCATGAGGCTGAAATGTTCAAACTTGGGTAGGGTGACCAGATGTCCTGATTTTATAGGGACAGTTCCGATTTTTGGGTCTTTTTCTTATATAGGCTCCTATTACCCCCCACCCCGTCCCGATTTTTCACACTTGCTGTCCGGTCACCCTAAACTTAGGTTGCAAAAGTTAGGCACTTTAACATGTTTTGGGCTCAATTCTCCTCAAAGTGCACTGGGCCTGATCCAAAGGGAGCCAGTTCATTGACTTCAGTGGGCTTTGGATCATCCTTTAAACTAGTTTTATATGAGTGGTACTCCACTGATCTCAATGGATTAATTCCTGACTTACATCAGTATACGTGGGAAAAGAATCAAAGCCACTGTCACAGCCCATTGAGAATTATGAGTGCTTATCACCCCAGGAGTCTAAAACCAGGCCACTTATTTAGAAGTCTAAAAATTCAGAGCTGAAATTTGAATCAAAAGAAGAATTCTCCTAATTTAGTCCCATTTCTAATAGTTTTAAACAATAATAGTTTATTTTTTATTTTATTTTATTATTCCTCCCTGCTTTCTGCTGCATTGGCAGCTTTTTCTCTCTCTGTATCTAGTAAGGCAAAGTACCTCCAGCAGTAATCGTTCTGATACTATTCTTATTAGTGCTTCAGAGCAGTGTAGGGAGATATCCCTTTTGATCTGCTCAGTTGAATTCTCTCTGTTCTGGACACAGCCTAGATTACTACTGAATAATCCTTAAATGCAGGACACTAAATAAAATGGTTGAATAAACCAAGACAATGAGTTGTTTTATCCATACATTTTTTAACACTTGGGAATGTTACTTTTTTTTTCTCCTCTAGCAATAAAAAGAAATCATTCACAACGAAGATATTTGGCACTTTATCTATAGCTGTGGTGCTTGGAATCACCTGGGTCCTGGGCTATATGATGCTAATAAATCAAGAGGCAACAAATATTGTCTTCAGCATTTTGTTCTGTATTTTCAATGCCACCCAGGTACAGTATGTAGCTGTTTCAATACTGATGAATGAGACATTGAAAAAAATGCATCTCTTTTCCCTCCATAATCCAGTATCGTAGTAAATTGTTGGAAAACCATGTTGCTTCATACAGAAATTCAGAATCTTTGTTTAAAAATGGCTGTGAGTTGACATATATTATTCATAAAACTCTTCTGGTATTACTAGCTAATGTGCTATTTTATTCTGTAGGACGTGTAAGGTCATCACTGAAAAGACTTGTCCATATGTAGTGGCTTCTCTTTGTACCAGACCATACAAAAAGGGATTGTGAGAGTGAATATTAGGAAAAACTTAATTAGCTGTGGAAATGTCAGCCAAGGGAAGTTGTGAAATTTCCATTGGTTTAGAATCTTTAAAACTAGACTGGACAAAGCCCTAGAGAAAAGCACATGCATCTCTATCACTCATGAGCAATGTGGTCATGCTGGACTTTTGGCTTTAAACTTTACAGCATAGCATACTACACCATTGTATAGTCTCCAAAATATTGTTTAGCAGACATAGGTGAAACCTGTATTTTTGCACAGGTAATAAGTGTGGTTACTAAGGGCTTGATCCAAAGTAGTGCAGAATATTTAAATTCCTATTAATTTCAATGGAAATTGAGAGTGCTCAACATTCAACAGTATTGGATCCCCAAAGTGTTTATTTAAAAAGTACCCCGGATACTGTATAAGCATGAGAGTAATTTTTTGAAACCTAAAAATCAACAGAGCTTGAAAACAGCTGGCATAATGGCACTTCTATTTTTTTCCTCCAAAATCTCTGACTTAATTAAAAAAAAAGGGGGGGGTGGAGGTTTGTCTTCATAGGAAGTTATACCAGTATAAGTAAGGCTAAGATTTAGTCATGGGTATTTTTAGGTAAAAGTCATGGACAGGTCATGGGCAATAAACAAAAATTCATGGCTCTGGCCTGTCCATGACTTTTACTATAAATGTCCCTCATTAAATCTTAGCTGCTCCTGGGGTACCGATGCTATGGGGGCCAGTGGCTGGCCCATGCTCCGGCAGTGGGGGCTGACTGCCCCGGCCATCCACTGCTCTGAGGCCCCTGAGGACCGCTGCTCTGACAGCCTCCAGGGCGGCCCCTGGGACCGCTGCTGCTTCGGTGGCTCTTGGGGCCAGCCACACCAGCTGCTTCAGGTACAAAAGTCACATAGGTTCCAGAAAATCACAGAATCCATGACTTCTGTGACCTCCGTGACAGACTCTCACCCTTAAGTATAAGGTATGTATGGTGTGTGAATTAAAAGCACTATATTTATATTGGTATAATTCCTCATGTGGACACACTTATTCCAGTAAATTTCCCAAAGTAGAAAAGCCCTTATTAACGATTTCATTCTTCATGGAAGAAAGGAGAGGAAATTGTCACAGATCTGCACAATTTACTATGAATTAAGTCTCATTTTTGGTGCCACAAGTGAGATGGCGTTTGGAAGAAGCCACCACATTTTTTTCCTCAGTCAAGAAGGAACCTATGATAGCCCATATGTATTTAAGCTCCAGTGAGAGGGAGTCTAGCTCCAGGGACCCAGTGGAGCCAAATGGCACACGTGATCACAACTTGAACATCAGCACAATCTAGCATGAGCTGTTTCTCATTCTGCTGACTCCCATGGGCTAGGCTTACTTTGTGGCCAGAGCTTGGAAGTTCCACCATTTCCCGCCCCCCCCACCATCTGACTCTTGAAAAGCACACAACAGTCTGCAGAAACTATTCATTAAAATTTCCCTCAGATGTTTAGTTTCTAAGCATTAAAAAAATTATTTATTTTAGAATAATTAAAAATAAAACATCACACCCCTTTCCACTGGAGTTGAGTTCATTTTTAAACCATGCAGTCAACTGTCTAGCCCAGGGGTGGCCAACCTGTGGCTCCGGAGCCACATGCAGCTCTTCAGAAGTTAATATGCGGCTCCTTATATAGGCACCGACTCTGGGGCTGGAGCTACAGGCGCCAACTTTCCAATGTGCCAGGGGGTGCTCACTGCTCAACCCCTAGCTCTGCCACAGGCCCTGCCCCCACTCCACCCCTTCTCGCCCTCTCCCCTGAGCCTGCTATGCCCTCACTCCTTCCCCTCCCCACCAGAGCCTCCTGCATACCACGAAACAGCTGATTGGGAGGTACAGGGAGGGAGGGGGAGGTGCTGATTGCCGGGGCTGCCGGTGGGTGGGAGGTGCTAGGACCTGGGGTGGGAGGGCTACTGACGTATTACTGTGGCTCTTTGGCAATGTACATTGGTAAATTCTGGCTCCCTCTCAGGCTCAGGTTGGCCACCCTTGGTCTAACCCATCTGTTTCAATGGTTCTGCTGTCTGTGAGAGCAGTTTCCCTGAAAGCAACTATTGACTGTATGGCAGATAGATATTATTATTATTATCATCATTTATATTACAATAGTGGCTAGGGAAGCCAATCCTGAATCAGGGTCCTATTGTGATAGACATTGTACAAACACATAACAGTGAGACTATCCTTCCTTGCACTGAAGATCTTACAATCTAAGGCGAGGTCTACACTAGAAATTTTTGCTGGTATAGCAATGTTAGCTAGGAATGTGGGGTTTTTACAACATTTCTATACCCGCAAAAACCCTCATTATGGCAGCATAAAAGTGCTTTTGCCAGTATAGCTTATTTTGCTCAGGGGAGTACAGTAGTATAAGCTATATTGGCAAAAGCCCTTTTTTGCTAGTATAAGCTGTGTCTACACTAGGAGGGTTTTCCAATACTGCTATACCAGCAACATTTTTAAAAGTAGACTGCGCCTAAGTAAAAATGATTGAAAGTAAAGTGGACGAGTTGACATAACCCAGAGGGATGAATCCCGAAGATGTGATATGTTTTTGCAATGGCTTAAAATTTTAAAGCCCTGTCTACCTCTAGTTTTAACTAATGACTGATGTAGACTGTCCTATTTGGTGCCATCCTATGTTGTAGTATTCCAAGGAAACTCTCTTTTACCTATAGTATAGGGTCTTATATAACACATACTTAAGCAGTGGAGGGCAATACTGTAGAGGGCATCCAGTAGAGGGCAATACTGACAAATACATACAGGATTCTTGTAATACCACTCCGTATTTCAAGACATTAATGTTATGGTTAATAATGATAGTGGTTAGGGGACTAGTCTAGGACTTGGGAGATCCAGGTTCAATTCTCTCCTCTGTCACAGACTTCTTATGTGACTATGGGCAAATCACTTAGTCTCTCTTCCCCACCTGTAAAGTAAGAGTAGGGTGACCAGATAGAAAGTATGAAAAATCAGGACGGGGGTGGGGAGTAATAGGCGCCAATATAAGAAAAAGCCCTGAATATCAGGACTGTCCCTATAAAATCGGGACATCTCATCCTAAATAAGGGTAATAGCACTTCCCTACCTTACAGGGATGTTGAGAGGATAAATACACGGAAGATTATGAAGTGCTTTAAGATCTACCGATGAAAAGTGCTATATAAGGAATAGGTATTATCATCATTGCAATTATTCTTCAAGTCACATCAAAAAGATGGTCAATTTTACGCTAAGCTTTCATTTCATTTCATTACTCTGATTAACTCTGAGCTTTCATTTAACCCACAGGGACTTCAGATCTGTATTCTATACACTTTCAGATCACCAATCTTCAAGAAAAAGGTTACTGAGCTGTTTTCCTATGTCTCACTGCCAGATATACCGATTTCCCTGCATTCAAAGACTTATTATCTTTTAAAATTCCGTTATAAAAAACACACATACGAGAACTTCAAACCATCTGAGACCTTTTCAGAGGAAACCTCCTTTTCCAGCAATGATCAGACACCTACGAAGAATTAAAATGTAAAATCACAGCTTTCTGAGTTTGTTCTAGATAGAGATCATTGGTGTTTTGAGTGACATGACCACCACTCTTGGAACAACGCTGGGCACAGATCAGAAGACAGTAGGACAGCTCCCAAAAATGTAAGGCAGGATAACAGCTGTGCAGAGCTTATATGTGGCACTTTAATTGTACACAACTAAGTTCTTACAAGGGAAGTTGACGGTCATTACAATATTGCACAAAATAGAAGGGCATCTGTCTGACTTAGTCATGTCTGTCTGTTCTCCCAGATATATCTATTCCTGGCCTATCTAATATGCTCTGTCCAAAGGTAGTCCTCTTTTCCCTTTCATAAGTAATTCCTGTTTAACTAAAGAACATAAGCAATAAATAAATAAATAAATAAATAAATAAACAGTAGAGTTCTTATTAGCTCTGTTTCCATATTCTAAATCACTATTTGACTGTCTTTTAGAAAAAGATCTTTATTTTAGAGTTGCCTATTGAGCTTCCTTGCTAGAAGCTGTTTAGGATAAGCTGCTGCTATAAATGCTATAAAATGATGTCTGACTCCATGTGGTAGAATGAACAAATAAATTAGTGTGATGAAGCTATTGCTATTTGTTGTGAGTATGTAATATGGTCAGTTTATAATGGAAGAAACTTAAAATCAAATGAGAAGAAGCAGATGATGTCAAAGGGTCCTGGGGAGAAGTGTCTGGATGTTGAAGTCAAGAATGGGGACAACATGAACTGCAGATTATTCTTTAGGAAAGAAGCATTGTCTAGTCTAGTAACTTGAGCAGAGGATTGGGGGCCAGGAGCTCCAGTGTTCTAATCCTAGCTCTGACACTGACTCACTCTGTGGCCTTGAGAAAAACTCAGCTGTGCTATAGTCAGTTCCTTATCTGTAAAATGGGGTTGATAATAATATTGACCCTCCAATCCTATAGAGTGTGTTGGGGGAAGTCTGTGAGAATTAGATAGTTCCTGGATAAAAAGAGAATTTCTTTGCCTGATTCAACAGACCCTGATATAGAACATTGGTATGATTAGCCATTTCTGGTGTTAACAAAAGAATGCTTGTGTTAAAGGTTAAATAGAAGTCTGACCTTAAACAATTTGTACATTTCTCCCCCCCACCCCCTTCCCTCTTGGTTTTTAATCAAACTAAAGTGAAACAAACATGATGGCATGGTTTGCAAACTCCCAAGCTGCCTTGTATAGGATAGCAGTCTTGATCCAATATGATGATCTGAACCTTGGTGGGTAACCTTTGGGGATACACAGAACCATGCCTTGATGGAAGTCTTTAAAAAGACTGGTTTCAGAGTGGTAGCTGTGTTTGTTTATATCAGCAAAAAGAACGAGGAGTACTTGTGGTACCTTAGAGACTAACAAATTTATTTGGGCATAAGCTTTCGTGGACTAAAACCCACTTCATCAGATGCATGCAGTGGAAAATACAGTAGGAAGATATATATATATATACAGAGAACATGAAAAAATGGGGGTTGCCATACCAACTGTAATAGACTAATCAATTAAGGTGGGCTATTATCAGCAGGAGAAAAAGAACTTTTGTAGTGATAATCAGGATGGCCCATTTCAAACAGTTGACAAGAAGGTGTGAGTAACAGTAGGGGAAAATTAGCATGGGGAAATAGTTTTTTAGTTTGTATAATGACAAAAGACCATACACCTGTACACATCCTGTGACAGAAAATTCTGAAATAGAGCTCAGCCAATAACAAAGAGAGGGGTCTTTTGGCCTGAAAACCTCTCCAGCCTTCAGAAAACCATAGTCTTGGTGGGAGGGAGAAGGTAGACATCTCCTTTAGATTGGGGATTCTTTAAACAAAAGCAGTTATGTCAGATATGAAACTGGAACCCACTATCACTACTAGGAGGAAGGTGGTGAGGAGCACTTAAACTGCAAGGTAGTTGTCCACATTGTACTATCATGCATACACTCTATCACACTCCCTATGGACAAGACACTTTAATTTTCTGTGTATATGTTTCCCCAACTGTAAAAGGAGGTCCTTAATACCTAGTGTTGTAAATCTCTTTGATAGCACTGGAAGAAGGGTGCTCTGTACAGCAAATTATTATTATTATTATTGCAGAAAATATTTGTTTTTACTGAAAGCCATGTAAAGCACACTCATACAGTGGTGATTGGTCTTTATGATGAGTGTAAAATACCGCTCAAGCTTTGTTCAAATTTATTTCACTTTTTTTGGACAAAAGTGTAGTTATTCTATAGAATGACATCAGATAAATTTTGTATTGTACATTTGAGATTAGATTACTTAAATATACAAATAATTTCCCTCTCTTTATAGACCTCAAAAATTAACAAAAAAACCCAAAAGAATTGGCATGATTCCTTCTGTTCAAGGTATTGGCTTTGGTATTGATGCATACTGGACACATTGTAGCTAGAGACCTGCAGCGTTGAATGAAGTATTGCAACAATTTGTATTGAACTCTTTGGACCCTCCTCACAGTAGCACAATAACCATTTTCAACTCCCTGAAAGATGGCGGGGGATCAATGTTTTTGAACCCAAAGTTTATTCTTTTTAAAAATCTTTTCTTAGCAGCGTGTGTTTAAGCGCAATAGTTCAACTCTTATCTACACGTGGAACACAGTGATCTTACTAATGGTGCTGAACTTTGATATTCTCTACACTGTGGATGTTAAAGAGGTAAAGTTTCTTGCTGGAAACTAACAGGAAGTGCTGCATCCATAAAAGCCACCAGTTTGGGGGGAAGGGCTGAATGATCTGACCAAAGGTATGAAAAATGAGGGAGGGAGTGAGTCTGACTAGAAGAGAGCGAGTGTGTATGTGCGTCTGGTGGTGTTGAACAACAGAAGAGGTGTGACCTATGTTTGGTATTGGAAATCTATATTTTCTAACATTTTTTCAGGGGAAGCCATCTGGACTACCAATCTTCTCTTATTAAGTAACATTTAGAATTGAAAACCTATAGCAAATTTAACTTATTTTTTAAACACCTTTTCTACTTCCTCCCCATTTCAATGTGACTTGCAGTCCCAGTGGCTCCCTACTACTCTGCTACTAGGGTTTTACTGTTAGACCCTGCTGAGAGCTGGTCTAGTCTACACCTAAAACTTTGGTCAACCTAGTTACATAGCACAAGGCTGTGAAAAATTTCACACCCTGAGCGCCTGTATTTAAGTCAACCTAACCCCCACTGTAGATGCAGCTAGGTTGACAGAAGAATTCTTCTTGCTACTGTCTCTAAAACTTCTGTTGCTGTAGCAAGTGCTTGAGTCTGCTCCATGGCACTAGAGCAGTGGTTCCCAAACTGGGGTTCGTGAACCCCTGGGGGTTCACAAAATGTTACAGGGGGTTCTCTGGAAAAAATTCCCTAATGGCAGACAGAGCTGTTCCTAGGGACCCCGGCATGGGGCCAGTAGCCCGGAGCCCTGGACTTCCAAGAGCTAAGCAGATCAAAGCAAGCATATCTATCACACTGAGGAGATTTAAACTTCAAGACTCCTTATAAGAAATGGAAAGGGAGGTGGATATTTTTTGCTGTTTTTAAAATTAAACAGGCAGCTAGTATTGTTTTTAAAATTATTATGAAGAACAAGTTTAAGCGTTGTTGTAATGTGCGTTGTTTGCCTGGACTGCTCAAGACCTGAATGCTTGTGTAAGAGGAACTCTTTGAGTTGACTTCTTAAATACCTTCAAGCTGTTTCACATCTGATACTCCTTGATGAAACACAGGAGTCTTGTCTTATAACAGGCTTATTCAAAGTGATACAAGCTATGAAAGTGAGATCTTGGAAGAGTGTTGCCGTTTTCATAATGTAATAAAAATACTGTGATGATAAATAATAATTAATAATAGGGTGTAATAAGCATGTCATAAAAACAAATTTTATATTTCCAAGATCACTGCTTTTATAATTTATACACAGGTAAAGGAGAAAATCCCTGGAAATATTCATTTTTAGGAGGGGGTTCACGAGACTTGACATTTTAGTGAAAGGGGTTCACAGGTTGTTAAAGTGTGGGAACCACTACACTACAGCAACATATTGTAACATGGTAGGCACAGCGGAATGGGGAAGGTGGGAGGGGTGGTTTAGTCTGCTATCAGATGGTGGACACCACAATGGAGAGTATGTGCTGCCTGCTGCTGGCGTGGCCATGCTATGTAACCTGCCATGTTACAGTATGTGGCTCTAGTGCATGGGTTCTCAAACTGGGGGTTGTGACCCCTCAGGGGGTCATGAGGTTATTACCTGGGGGGGTCACGGACTGTCAGCCTCCACCATTTATAATAGTGTTAAATATAAAAAAGTGGTTTTAATTTATAAGGGGGGGGCGGTTGCACTCAGAGGCTTGCTGTGTGAAAGGGGTCACCACTACAAAAGTTTGAGAACCACCGCTCAGTACCATGGAGCAGACTCAGACACACACTGTGCATGCAAGGTCACACTTGCAGGGTGGGTCCCATGCCATTCTGGGCAGTACTAGGATGTCTGGTATTTTGGGAATGCAGGAGTGGCCACCCTATCTCCTTCCCAGCCTTGGGCTAGCTGCCTCCTCTGCTGTCCACTCCTCAGCCAGGTCTCAGTACCCCCGAAGCTGTTTCTTTGTGACAGGTTTGTACAGCGCCCAGCACAGAGGCCGCGCCTCTCCACATCACTGTGGCACAATCAGTGCTATGGAACACTTCCCTTGCTACACAAACACCGCCCCTGTGGCAGCTGGTGCGGCGCATGCGTGGAACCCGGCAATCCTCGCTCTGCTTAAGGGACGCCGCAGCTTCGACTGGCGGCGGCGGGGTTTTCTTACCAGGCATGCGCACTCCTGCCCTAGCCGTCGCCGTACCAGCGCATGCGTAAAGCTAAGGCCGGCTCTGATGTGAATGGGAGCCTTAGATCACAGACTGCGCACGCGCGGCCTCCTTCGTCTGGTCTGGCCTGCTCCGGCGCTTCACTCCATCAGTGCGCGCGCGCGCCGTTCGGCCGCCATCAGCTTCCGTCGGAGCGAGTGCGCCTGCGCGACGGCCCGGCAGTGGCACCAGCCGAGATCCAGCCCTTTCTCCCCTGCCACGTACGGGCGGCGGCAGCGGGATCGGGATCGGGCGCGACGGAGCCGCGGCCTCCACGCACGTGCCACCGCACGCGGAGGAGAAGCCGGAGTAAGCGGCGGGGAGCGGGGCGAGCCGGCGCTGCCCGGGCTGAATGGGGGGGAGGGCGCGCGAGGGGACGCGGCTCGGGCCCCTCCCCCATGGGGTCGGGGGCGGGGAGAGATCCCTGTGAACTATCCCCCAACTCCCCGGGGACTCGGCCCCTCCCCCGCCGGGAGCCCCAGGGCAGGAGTGTTACTGCCCAGCCCTCTCCCCCCGGGCCAGGGGAGCCTCGGGCGCCCCCAGCACAGCCCGAAGTAGCGCTCCGGGGCGAATGGCCTTGGCTGCTGCTCCTGGGATCAGGCCCGCTGGAGGAGGGGAAAGAGGAGCCACCTGCGGCCCCCCCTCAAATCTCTGCGAAGTTCACGTGCATCTGGTCAGTTTTACTTCTCCAGAGCCCAGGAGCA